CATTTGGGAAAAAAGAAGGATTTTTACCCAGGGGTGGATTGTGGAAGGGGGGGGGGGGGGGGGGGGGTTCTGCCTTCCTCTGTAGTGGGGTCCATAGCATTGGATCTCTTGAATGCATGGGAGACTGGTACCTCCTGTATCTGGCGGGGGGGCACCAAATCGCTGAGCAGGGGGTCCAATCACAGAGCAGCTGATCGCAGAGTGGGAGGCGAGGGGTTCCCCGGCAGCCAATCACTGAGTTGGGTGGGGGGGGTCCCCCAGTGACCAATCACTGAGTGGGAGGAGGGAAGCCCAAAAGTGCCAGTGGCAAAACCAGAAGTGCCGCCAGGGGACCAAACCGCCGCACCCCCATTGGTACGCCACTGCAGAGAGGGCACATCGAGCACCCACTGATGCCACCAAATCCGGGGATGGCCTGGTCAGGGGGGCACATGCAGCAAGAGCTGTTTTCTATTTTTAGGGAAAAATGGGGGGAAATGCCTTCTCTGTGCATGTCCTTTTGTAGCATCTGATGAAATTAGCTCTGGCTCACGAAAGTTTCTGCACCTCTGATTTAGTCTGAAGTCAGGCAGAGGGCAAGGTAGAGATGCACTTTATCGACTAGCATGGCTAACTGCCTCTCCAATGTTGGGAAATGTGACTTGTGGCAGTTCAGACCTTGTGAATTGGGTGGGGTGGAGTAAAGTTGCTAAATGAACTGAACACACTTGTTGTTCTTGTTGTCCTCAATAGCTTAGAAAAATAGGACTAGGTTTCTAATTATATAAGCTAATTTTAACATTAAGCCCTCAAACATTAAAACAAATTTTAAAAAGTTCATGGGCCATATATTTAATCTAAGACAGCAAATGGAAGGAGGCAGTAAGTCTGACTTTCTAGCCAGCCAACCCCATGTAGTAACCTTTGCCAAGAAGCCCTTATAATTCCCTACATTTCTTGATTTGGTTGCCTGAAAAAAAAACAATAAACTCCTGAACACTATGCATGCTAAGGAATATCCCCTGGGTGGCAAAATATATAAAGAAAAGGCCCTGTAATTCCATAGCATACTTCTGTCAATTAGCCATGCACAGGAGGAACAGTCCAGCCTGCAGAGGACAACCTATTTTGCCATGCCCAAAATTAACTTTAGCACTCTGATGGATCTGCTTTTCGGTAGCTACATCAGCACTGTTTTCAACAAGTTTCACTGAAAGTATATACAGTGAAAGCAAGCTATCCAAGCGTTTGCATGGATTTATATACTTTTATACAGTAAGTGTTGAGCCTCTTCTCCTTAAGGTATCCTTACAATACCCTTGTGTAACAGACCAGTAGTCCTATTATTCCCATTTTACAAATGACAAATTGAGGCACAGAAAAATTAAATATGCGTAAATTGGGTGCTTAAAATAGAACTAAGGAAGAATTAAGACAGTGAGTCCAAGAGTGATTCACAAAAACCAAGTCTACCCCTGTCACGTACCTGAAAAAGTTCCTAAGTATCTTAAGTTCAGCTACCTCACATGCACAGAGGTGCCAGCAGTTCAGTTCGTCACAGTTTTTAGGTTCTTATCTCCCACATAAGGCCATTTGGGATTCACAGATTGGGCATCCAGTAAGTATACACCGAACATGCCTGATCCAGGAGCTCAGTAAAAACATCTGACACTAATGACTGACACAACTGTGCTAAGCATCAATGCCCATTTTCATTCAAAAACACAGGCTGGGGTTTCAGGCAGTTAATGCACTACTTATTTCCCAAAAGTATGAAACCAGTTTCTAGACACTCGTCAGCCTGACAAGGTTTGAAATGCTATTTCCCAGTTTTGCATGATAATATGTTGGACAGAAAGAAATAAAGATTTATTGCCCACACAAAGAGACCCTGGTTCTTTAGCCACTCTGAGTAGTGGGGAAGGGTAGTTTTGAATTCTGCTCCAAGGACTGCTTATGTTGAAAGAGTCACTGAATAAAATTCATGAACAGCATTAGAAGCAAAGACCAGAAGCCACTCTCTAAGGGAAAGAAACATAACACGAAATGTGAGGGCCCCTCAAGCTAAGGAAAGTTTATTTAGTTAAATTTAGTTAAGTTAAACTTATTTACTACTTGTATAATCAAGTACTAAATAAATGTGCAGTATGCTGCTGTACTGCGAATTAGCACAATTGCACACTTCTTGTGTGACAGTGCACTGGAGACTAATACTACTGAGCTTTAGGGTATTAGCATGAGGTTTGTTGTGCATGCTAAAGCATATAATTAGTTTACTGCACATCAAGCATCTTGTGTAGATGTGCCCTCTTTCTCATATAATGACTAGGGCATACCTGTCAGCAGAGAGAGAGTTTTAATAAAAGGCCTCAGTCCAACATAGTCTCTAGCCAGGTGATTAGGGCATGCTCCTGGGAGGTACAAAATGCAGTCTCAAATCCTGCCAGGCATACAGGTTTATAACCCAGGTCTCCCATTTATGGAGTGGCCAGTCGACCTAGGGTTTATATATCTAGATGTGGCCTGCCTTGGGGCTGGAAATCCCAGTCTTCTGCAGGTGTGTGAACAAGGAATACTTTAGATAAACACCCTTTTTATCTTTTCTTATCATCCTACATAAGCACTCCCTTGATCAACATGCTGGGAAAGGAAGAACATCTGCAAGTATGTAGCTATGGAAGAGGAACAATACTCCTCGTGAATAATGATCTTATATGATATGCTATTTTTAAAGTATTAGTGCAAGAGGAATGCAACCCAAGCACTCCATATTGGGTTAATGTAAGTTTGAGTAATGTGAAAATAAGGTCATTAAAATCAGAGAGAGAAGAAGAAAGTAGAGGGAAGTGTGTTGTCATAAATCCTGAGACGTCACTGACCTGGCAGAGATGAAAGGGAAGTAAAGAGATTTATTGATCCAACCCAAAGGGGAGAAAGGTGAAAATCCCAGCAGAAAAAAGTGAGTAAGAGGGGAGGGGAGCGGCAGGCAGAGTGGAAACACCAAAATTGAAGATGACAAAGTAATTCCTTCAAAAGGCAAGGTATATATTTAATCATTACACTGAAATATATTAAAAATGTATTTCCTAGACTTGAAGAAATACAGCTTAAATTTGGCTTCACAGTGGACTGAGATGAATGGGGTGGGGCTTTCTATGGCTCTGGGATCTGTAAACTCTAAGGCTAAGAACAGACATTCAAAAAGCCCCTGACTGAAGGGTTCTAACTATCATGCTTTACTTAAAACACTGTAAGTTAAAGCAGGAGTGAACTGAACAGACATTGGCTGCTCAGTGGGGGGGAGGGGAGAGGCTTGGAGCCTGCCCACACCGGCCAAGGCCAGCAGGCAAGGGACATTCCTGCATGCCTGCCAAGAAGCTCCTCTCCCAAGCCCTCCCCCCACACTGGTAACTGTCAGCAGCAAATGGAAAGGGGAGAGAGGTGGGGGAATCCCCTCCCCCCGATTGCTGAGTCAGGTACTGGGGGGACTGGGCTGGGTCCATGTGGGTCTGCACAGCAAGGGTGAGTTCCTTCAGCCACCCCCAGTTCCTGGCATGGCCAAAAACCAGTCTGGCCAGTCTCATGCTGCAGCTTCTTCTGCAGCTGTCAAGAGGCTGGGATGGAGGGGGGGGGAAGGGAAGGGAGGATCCCCACCTCATATAAGTCATACAGGCCTCTCCAAATTGTTGGGTCAGGTTTTGAGGGGCTGGGCTGAGTCTACACAGCACAGCCAGCAGCTGCAGCATGAGACTAGCTGACCCAGCTTTTCACCATGCTGGGAACTGGGGTTGGGGGCAGAAAGTCCCTGTGTCATGCAGACCTGGTTACCCCCACCAAAGAGCCAACCCAGAAATCTGGGGGGAGCCCACATGGAACAGGGGCTGTTCCCCCCACCTCCCCCCGCCCCAGGCAATGCAGAGGGAAGACAGAGCCTTTTCTGTCTCCTTCCTGTGACACCTTGGAGGTGGGGCTGAGCCAGTGCTTGCCCAAGCAGGCAAAGACTGGCCCAGTCAAGCAAGCCACCCAGAAAGGGGCCTCTGGGATGCTAACAGAATGCGAACTACATTAAAGTGCAATGGATATGATACAGATGTTCAAAAAGCACTCTAACCTAAAGTGCTTTAATCTAATACCATATCTGACAACCAATGGGACAACTGACAACCCATGCCCA